TAAACTTTAGCCAAAGGGATATCTGTTGCAAACAACAAAATCATTGTGGGAAAAGCTGATCGTAATTAACAGAAGAAAGGAAAAAGCGACGAAGCCAAAAGAAGAAGTAAACTTTTTCACTTTGAAAAGGGTAAAGTTTGCCGTTAAAATGACAATATTTCATTCCCTTTAATTATTTTACTTCTTAGTATTTTATTTTACTCTAACTTTTGTGTATATCTGTAAAATGGAGTTCAAACTGCTCAGTGTATCGTCTGTATAAGACTCTGGTGTTCGAGTTCTTGTCGAGTGACATGACATATGCGTACGGTTTTCTAAATGTGTCTGAATATTTTGATAAATAATGTAAGCTAAATGCAAGTCCATGAATAAAAAAAACTTATACTATTTTAGACATTTTCCTTTAAATCGATTTAACTTCCTTTCAGTGCAAGGAATTAATCCAGAACTTCTGCCCCGTCTGTTTATTTATTTTTTTAATACACCACAATTTGCATTCGCTCCATTGGAAGAGATGTCAACTAAAAAGGTTTCAGCTTAACCTGCAGGCTTCGACAAGTACGAAATTTTTAGCCTGCGTTGCAGCCGGCCAACGCACTCGTCTAAACCATTTGTATAGTCCGTCTGCGCTGATACAGAAGGTTTAGAGTGTCTGCGACGCAGGCTAGAAATTTTCGAAACTGTCATGAAATATTCCCTTGAGCATTACAGGGCTCAAATCTCCTTTAAATTCATAACAGGCAATTTGAGCTCTTAAATGCGTAAGGGAAAGATTTAACGACAGTTTAAAAATTTTAGAATTTACAAGGATCTGTTTGAAAACCATGTAAGCGTGACTGAATGGCAAAAGTTGTTTTTCTCATACAAATGCTTCTAACTTTCGGCGGCCGTTGCAATCGCTACTTTTGAGATGTACGGCTGAAAACTCTCAGGTTACCTAATTTTAATTAATATGCTCTTTCAGCTTGTGCTAACAAAATTTTTCAAAAGTGAACTGTTTTCGTGTTTACCGAAAGTTCACGTGATCACAGTCATACAAAGAGCCTAATAGCCGCACTTTTCTCATGGTTGTTTGTCCTCTTGGTGAGAAGTGACCCGCATTAGCCTCGCTTTCGCGCAAAAACAAGCACTCGTCCTAGGCCGCCAAGAATACGAAATTGATACTGTTATTGGAAATCATGCATTGCGCGCGCAACCTACAGATTAGTCAGTTGTCTGCTAGCAGATAACTAAGTAATCTGTAGGTTGCGCTGATTTCCAAAATTAGTTGTACAGGTAATGAGTACAGAAAAAAAGATAAACTTATAAATCTTAGCCTTTTTATCTTACCTCGAAGCCAGGCGATTTTCAGAAATTTGAAAATCTGTCCAAAATAATTGGAATTGACGGGTTTGGCTTATAGCCAAGAGTTTGACAATACTTTTGCCCTTAGTTGTCGAGAACCAAAGAAGATGTGACGCAAAATTCTGTGATCGTGTATGAGATAAATAAGGAATTGTTTCGATGAGGGGAATGATGAGGGGATGAGTGGCAACATCTAAAGTCTTTCGGTAGTTTGATAATTTCATTACAGCTTATTGATGTTACAATAGGTAATCACATGATTTCGAGTACAATTTGGAATAAATAAGCACGAGTAAATTTTCCAAAGACCAACAAAAGTGCACGAGCCAGTGAGTGCACTTTGTTGGTCTTTGAAAAATTTACCATGAAGGAGGTAATTTGTCTGTTTGTTTTTGCCGGCCCGGTTCATGTAATCAGGCCCTTAGTTTACGCCCTCCCCCTTAGTCTCACCGATTTTTCAAAGCCCCCCAAACCCACACACCCAAATTTCAGTCCCCCTCAAAGCATCTTCATACCTCCATCTTCATACTACCAATGTTTAATGAGTGTCTTTATATCTGATATAGAAGAGGCTAAACTTTGCGTCCAAATTTTTAGACCATTTATTTAGCACAGTGTGCATTACCATTAAAGTGTCAATTTATATCAGAAAGACTGAGCGGTCGCTGAGTGGTCGCTTACGAGAGCTTAAAAACAAAAGAAACGTCCAGTTGGGTAATCCCAAAAGTGGTCGCGGTCACTTACTGGAGACATATTAAATTCTGCAAGCAGAATACTACAATGCTGATCGTACTACGTGAAACTTAACTCCGCAAGACATCAACACGACACTGAAAGAACTCAAAACAGAGCGCGATTGTAGCCATAGACAGCTCTTTCGCCCTTTTTGGGGCTCGTCAGTATGGCGTAACAACCAGAGAAAGCTCTGATAAAAATACTTACTGGAGCCGTCGCTTACGAGAGCTTTTCATTACAAAGTTTAAGTCGCAATTCAAACGGGGTTTCTCAAATGTGGTCGTAACCAGAGCTGGTAGACTACGAGAGTGGTCGCAGAAAGAAAAGCTCAGACTATACGACTGTACATATAAAAGACATCACATAAGGCTAGTACAACGATGCCCAAATATACGCTCCCACAGCGTCTTGTTAAATATATGTTGAAAACGTTTGCTCTTGAAAAAAGTACGAGTTGACTGGTGATCTTGTTATGCGCAGTGCAAAACCAGCTAATGACCTTAAAGCCACCCACTAATCTCGCAGACCTTTTGAGTCAAATGCCATAAATAGTATTTACATAGTAAAATCACAATCAGATTGTCATTCCCCAAACAAGTTTCAATACCTCCATAATATTGATAAATAACATGCTAGTAAGTGGCAGCCGGACCAAGGTTACTGTATGAAAATAAAAGCAAATAATAGTATTAGCCAAGCTAATGGGTTATCATTGGATTCCGCCATCGACCGTAGACCAAGCTAATGGGCCCGTTTTAACGCCTCGTGTATTAAATAGCTTGGATAAAGAAAAAAGCACAAGCACATGCCGAGAATTCATTTCACAACATGCTTGTAAATATTAATATAAATACGGCAAAGATGTTCAAATTTGTATAATAACCGTAAATTGACTATAGACGACAAATTGAGTATCTGGTTGGACTCATTAGAGATCTTTCTCTGAGCATATTACGACTGTTTGTAAGAAAGTTTCACAGCGCATCGGCTTGTTAAAGAAAATTATGAATTATCTGCCCCTTAAACAAAGATTACTTTATTACAATGCTTTGATCAGGCCAGTGATTAATTATGCAAGCGTCCTTTGGACTAATTGTGATAAGGAAAGCCTTGGGCGGGTCCTGAAGCTCCAAAAACGAGCAGCTAGAGTAATCCTGAATGCCCCCCTCAAGCACCATCAGTTCCCTTGTTTAATCGGCTGAAATGGTTGCCTTTTTATAAAGACGCTTTCATATCCAAATGTATCATTGCTTATAAGCGATTACAAGGTGACGTCCCTGTTTATCTCAACGATCTACTTAAATTAAACAGTAACATCCACAGTAGAAAAACCAGGTAGTGTAATTTTAACCTAATCTCTCCGAGGTATAATCGCGAAACAGAAGGAGGCAGAACTTTTACCGTAACAACTTGCAAAGCGTGGAACAGCTTATCTTTGCCTGGAAGGCAAAGGGACTCAGTTGACTCTTTAAAAAAAGCATTGTGGAATGAATTTTTTAAACAACAGCAGAATCTTGATCATTTTTCTATTTAAGTTACTTGATGAACTGTGAGATTATTATAACGCTATATTTTATCTTTTAAATAATTTAGTAGATTTTATAGTATCTGTATTCTTAATTGGTTTTAATCTTGTATTTTTTTTCATAGCTTAGTATACTCATTTATTATTTTATTATTTATTATTTAGAGGGCCACAAGTTTATTAGCCCCGGCTATTTCGTGCTAACCCTCATAAAATAAAGTCTTTACTTACTTACTTACTTACTAGAGTATATCTACTCTAAAAAAGGGACTTTAGTGGTTCGTCATTTAGAAGTGGCATTAAATTTAACGGTCGATGGATTAGACAAAACCAATTATAAGTAGATTGCAAAAGTTATTCTAGAAAATAAACTGCGAAAGGAATGATGATTTTTTTTTTAATAATCGAGGCATTGGTAATAACAAATTGAATGGTTTTTTCAGTTGCCTTAATGCGATGTTCGATGAGCTTGAAGGCTAGCTAGAATAATGGAAAAAGTATATGTTGCTTCATTTCTTCTTTTTTTTCATTATGCTTGTTATGATTGAAGCAACCTAAGCCCTCTTAAGTCAAAATACAGAGCTCTTACGATAGGCCGAAAATCAGAATCAGATTTCTGATTTCGGGAACAAGATTAAATCCCTTCCAAAATATTAGGCAATTCAGTTTAAGACCTTGCTGAGACGCAATACAAGCAGACCATGGTTACTGTATGCAAAGAAGAGCTAATAGTACCAAACACACGAAACATGTTTGCAAAATTGAAAAAATGTCTTTGTCGTGTAGTATAAAAAACAAATAGTTATTTGCCAAATTAGACAGACGATGGGAATGCACATAACTCCATTGGGAGGTCTTTTCTTTGACTAAAATTAAATGGCCATCGAGAAATTAATTTACATAGTTTTGTAGGATACTTTAAAAAGTTATATCCTTAATGAGTCTCTATATAAGGGAAAAATGGAAGACGATGACGGATTTAACCTCCACCAAATAGATGCCAAAATTTGAGCAACAGTTTCCCAGGAATATACCAAGTATATTAAATGAATGAATGAATGAATGAATGAATGAATGAATGAATGAATGAATGAATGAATGAATGAATGAATGAATGAATGAATGAATGAATGAATGAATGAAGAGTCGTGAATGAGAGGACAACAGACGTACCCTCTTACAATACATTTTAACATGTGAACAGTAAGCTCGGGCGTTAGCATACAAAGGCGCCACTGGCAGCCGCTCTCAGTCTATTTATGAGCTTACTGTACCCACCCAACCCATTCCTCATAGCAAATCCGATTCCTCACAAAATTAAGTGTTGTACTTACGTTTGCAGTCCGTTCTTCATGAAAAGCGAGTATAACATCATATTTGAGAGCAGAAAAAGACGATGACTCCAGCTCCGACCGAGACAGATTCAGGGACCAGCCAATCAGAATTGTTTGCAAAACAAGAAACCAACCTATCAGGTGGCGGTACAGACCAAGGAGCTAGCCAATCACAGAACGCTCTTGAAGTTTCCTTTAGTATAATCGCGAGCTGTGCTTTTTTGTTCAACCTTGCCTTCTGCGTAGTGCTCTTGAAGAAACGTGCCATGCTAAAAAAGCCACATAATTCTCTTCTGTTTAACTTGGCCGTGACCGATTTACTTACAGGTACAGTATGTATGCTTTGATTTAACAGCACTTTTGTCATACACTGGGATGGTAGATTAGTAGTATATATCTTTACAGAACTTATGCCAAGTACTGCATGAATAAGGTCAGTTTCAGCATTGAGATTTGATTGCAAAACGCACCTTTGCTTAGAAATTTGACGCTTATTTATAATAAGTTAGAAGAGTCATTTCATCTAATCAAAAATTAGTAGCTCTGTTGTCAAATCCACCACCTGCAGCAGAAGAAAGGTTGCTGATCAAAGGCTCTGAAGCACTTACATCCCCTAAACTAACAATAAATCAACAAACTTGACATCGGCATTCAGAAATATCGTCTAGGGATGCTATTATTATGCTATAAGTACTGATCAATCAGTGACGGCAGTAGAGCAAACCAAGGGGAGAGTAAATGAAACTAACTGGCCATTGGTTACGACAAAGTTACGCGTGAAAATCAGTTCCTCGAAGCAATCCACAGTACAGTTCGACCCATACACTATCTCTAAAATATAATCAAGGTTGAATCTGAACGTTTGGACCAAAATTCGGGAAAGTTTTGCGGTAATGAGGAAAGTTACTCTAAGTCTATATTGCACATTCATTTCTACTTATTACTTGAAATAATCATCTTTATTTAGACCCCAGTTGTTCAAAAAGTAGATAACACTTGACTACCCACTGGATAAATCCCTATCCAATGGATAGCGCAATTGGTTTTCTCTTTTCTTATCCGCTGGATAGTGATTTACATCCGATGAATAGCACTATCCATCGTTTGAACAACCAGGCCCAGATAAATCAATCACAAGGGACTTTAAGATTGAACGACGCGACAGCAACGACAACGTCGCTTAAAAATTGAATTTGCGTTCTTCCAGTCTTAATCGCGATTATTCCTGCTTTCTTACTTTGCCAAATGTAAGCGAACCATCTTAAATTAAATTCTAAGGGACCGTATTCAAGTTCAGAGAGCGAAATAAAACTTCGCCTTTGCTTGTTTACGTTCTCCATAAAACACAAAATTAGGCATTTTCACGTCGTAATTGTGCAAAACGGCAAAAAAATGTTCAAAAAAGTGTGATGCTCGTGCAAAGCCGTTGTTTTGCTTATCAAATTACCTATTGCTTTTTTAGACGTTCTCGTTGCTGTCGCGTGGATGAATCTTAGAGTCCGTACTATATAGCCTGGGACCAGGCTCGGCAGTGGGGGAAAAAGACAAATAACGGGGTCAAATACGAAAAATATCGGCGAGCGAAGCGAGCCCAGCGATGGCCTGGGGAGGAGGAAAGAGCGCCACCCTTCACCGTTTCACCTCCCCAAACTACCCACAGACTACCTCTCGGCTCGTTTCGCTCGTCGAATTCTTTTTTTCGCCCAAGCCGATTTTTTTTCCTTTTTCCCCCAATGCGGAGCCTGTTCCCAGGCTACTACTATAACGCAATTGTTTTCCGAATACTTATCCGCCGGATAGTGATTTATATCTAGTAGTCATCCCTGTCCAGCGTTTGAACAACCGCTGCCTGATGTTTTCTTTAAGTGGGCACCAACCCTGAATTAATTTCTTTCTTGACAGGAGCCTTTGTGGTTTTAACACCCGGTTACATCTCAGATGAACCCTTGTTTCCAATAGCCGACGGGTTTGGTGGTGAGCTGTTTTGCGCGCTACTGGGTAATAGGTACCTCCTCTTTCTGGTGGCCAAAGAATCCATTTTGCTGGTCACATGTCTTGCCGTGGAACGCTGGTACTGTGTGATGAGACCAATGAAGTACAAAATACAATTTGGAAGAAGAAGACTCATAATTTACATAGTGGTTTCTTGGATCGCTAGCTGTGCTTTGCAAAGTCACAAATTTCTTAAGCTAAAACTCAGTGGAAATAAATGCGTTCCTGTTGATATTCCTTATGGTAGAGAAGGTGCACAAGCATTCCTTGCAGTCTACAGTTTCAGTACTTTTGTAATCCCTTGTTTCGTCACGTGGCTTACCTTTGCACATATAAGGTTTCGTGCACCTGTTGAGCTGAATATTAAATCATCGCAGAGTGAGCGCCGGGAAAAACAGCAAAAGATCGTACTGCGCATGTGCGCTTTGACAGCTGTTGTGTTCACATTGTGTTGGCTTCCCGCCCAATTGAGTTACACTTTAACTCCGTTTGGTATCACTAGCGTTAGCAGTCCGTTCCACAAAGCGTGCAATGTTGTTGCGTTCGTTAACTCGTGTATAAATCCTCTTATATACTGGTATTATCATAGGGAATACAGAAAAGAATTCATCCGGCTTTTCTGTTTCTGCAAACTCTCCAAGAAAGTTGTTATCAGTAAACAAAAAGACATGAGCCTCTCAACGATCACGTCTTGAATTTTAGTCAAAAACTGGAACTAGCTTGAAGTCGAGGCTGCTGCATCATTAATTCACAACTTTATTTTACTTCGAATTGTAGTGTAGCACATGGTGCTGGTATCTCCGAACTACATAAATAAGAACCGATAAAAAATTAGTTATTTAAGCAATAGACCACACTTTCTATGGGTTTACCGGCGTGGTAGCCCACGCGGGACGTAGGGAGAACACGAGAAAAGCTTGATACTTCACGAGCCGAAGGCGAGTGATTTACATTAGCTTTTCGAGTGTTTTCCCAACATCCCAAGTGTGAGTTTACCGGCGCAATAAACCACAACTTTTTAGTCAATCAGAACGCACTTACTATCTTAGTTATTTTAGAAAGTATCATAATATAAAAACCGAAAAGAAAAAGAAAAAAAATTCGTAGTAAATATAGTCTATGATTTTGCGTTTATGATATTTCGTTTCAAAGTTGCCGGCAATCGTATCAGATTTTCTGATATCATCGGAAAGGTCATTCCAGGCATGGAGGTTATAATATCTAAAAGATCGTAAACCATAGGAGCTAGTCCTAAGATGCCGTATTTCCAGCATGAAATAGCCTCTCAAATTATAATTTGATACACCCCACTCTTGAATGTAAGCTCTGAGGTAAGACGGGGCCATTCCATTGAAACATTTGTTCAATGTCACCATCATGCTTTGCACCCATGCACCTCCAGATTGGTCAAATTAAGTTAGGTAAGTAGATCCTCAAAACTGCTGGGTGAATCGTTTAACACTACTTCAAGTATCTGCTAATGAACTGTTCTAATTTGTCTTTGCTGTGCACACTGCAAAAATGCCACACATTGCTACAATAACGAAAACAGGCTGTATACATGCATTATATAGCTTTAACCTTGTTTGTCCTGTTATCAACTTTCTAAATATTTTTATAACTTGAAGTAGATTATTTACTCTACTGTGCAAATTTGTAACTCGTCTATCAAAATTAAACTTATTAGAGTCAATATTTACGCCCAGCAAATCAATATTGTGACACCTGGTGATCTCTATCCCATCAACAGCAACTGAAAACTCGTGATCATCTCCCAGTAGCATTAACTGGAATTTGTTAGGTTTGGCCATTAAGAAACGGTCCAGATAAGAACGATAGCAACAACGGCAACGAACATGTTGGAATGCAGAAAAGGCGCTAACTTTTCTATTGTCTGTACTTAGTTCTGATTGGCTTAAACAGCAAAAGTTAACAAAACTTCATAAAGCGGTACATATATTCATCCTTACTTTCCAACCATCTTCCATATAACCAAATCTGTCTCAGTTTGAATAACAAAGAAATCCTATGTACGGAACATGTAAAATTGTAAACTTTTCTTGGCTATTGTTTTCAACTCTTGTGATTGGTCAAAATCTTTTAACACAAAAAAACACCCTTTCGAAGTGGAGTGTAAATGCATTTTATTGCGTAAACGGCCTTCATGTAGGTTTATGCATTCTCTGTGTAAAAATGAGAACATTCCTATGTGGGGAAAGCACCGTTGCCGCATAATAAAAAAAAAGCGGCTTTCCATCATACCGGGATCATAACTTAACCCGTTGTGTTTGAGCCAGTCCACTGCTACAGAGAGCTCATTATTGAGTTGGGTGAGCAGAGCCAAATGATCAGTATCAGAATAGTACAGTTTCTGATCGTCAGCATATGCGTTAAGATGAGCTCCTATTACAAAGTGGGCCAGGTCATTGAGAAAAACATTAAAAAGCAGGGGCCCCAAGACGCTGCCTGGTGATACACCTCTACTTGTTAACTCCCATGACGACACAACGTCTCCAACTTTAACCCGCTACAACCTGTTCTGAAGATACTCCAGAAGAAAAGAGCAACTCCGATTGTCAAGGCCGTATACTTCCAGCTTCTTGATAAGAAGTAAATGAGGGAGAAAATCAAATGCCTTGGATCAATCCAAGGTCACTATGGCAACGAGCTCCCCTTTATGACGAACTTTTCCTCTAGCAGCGTTTTCTAGCCTGCAGAACCTGTGCCGAGTGTTAGCTGAACTCGAAACCGACTCGAACTACTCCCCTACGAAAATAACTGGTCGTCGTACCTTAAATGGAACCAGGGGGTATTCAACAAAATTTTATACGCAGAGGCTCCGCCCCCAGGCCTTACCCTTACCCTTTTATATACCATTTTATTCAGAAAAGCTACCTCTTTCGTATACCTTTTATTGACAAATGATACCCCTTTCACTTACCAAGTTTGGGACGCTCCATCCTGTTTTTACGGCTGTAAATGCACCGTCTTTTAAATATGAATAAATCACCAGACCAGAAAATTTACTTGTCCTTTTCACATCCATAAAATAAGCCTGTTCGCCCTTTTAGGCCCCTTCATGGATCGCCATGACAGATTTCCCTAACAGTTCATAATTATACTTCAACAGTAAAATCCTTACCCTTTGATATACCCGAAGCCTTTGATATACCTGCCCTTTCGCGCGGAGCCTCCCCGTTCAGGTCATTATAGGGAGTAACACCTCGGATAGGAAAGTAAAATTGGTGGGTTGTCGATCATAATTAAGGTGCTGTTACACGAGACGATTTGCAACGACGATTTTTAGCTCAACACAGCGTTGCAATATTGGAATGTTGTAGCTATTCGAAACAATGTTGCAGTGTTGCGTTTCGCCAAAAATCGTCGTTGCAGATCGTCCCGGTAACATCACCTTTACGATCCTAAGCAAGCAAGATTCTTTTAGTTATTAGGGGCAGGGAAATTTCCCAGGAACACCTCTACATTTGTAGGGGAAAGGGACAAAAAACAGTTGAGCAATGGAGGCGAGCAGTGAGAGTTAGTAAAGAAAAAGGAAAAGAAAAAATGTTTGCATTGGGCTTCCAGCTCTGCATGTCGTCTCAAACTTGACCAATGTCCAGCCTCGGATAAACGCCGTTGTTGCTTAGACTGTGAGAAACGTGGAAAACATTCTTTGCAATAATGAGAAAGATAAAAAAATGTCGTGTGGAATAATAATCATCATCATCAGCAGCATCAGCAGCATCATCATCATCATCATCATCATAATTTGAGTTGGTATGTAAGGAATTCCGAGGTTTTGCTCAGGAAAGTAGGTGAAAAAGGAACAGTGAAAGTGGATGAGGAAAAGGATCCAAAGGAGTATAAGAAGAGTAAAAAGAGAGAAGTGGAAAACAAATGGAAAGAAAAGCAAATGCAGGGGTAATATGTCAAGGACATGACGGGAGTGGATTAGAAGAAAACATGCCCGTGGTTGCGGAAGGGGGACCTCAAGTGATGTACAGAAACTTTGATTTAAAGCGCACAAGAACATGCTTAATTAAAGAACTAACTATATCAAGCAGTTTCATATTGACAAAACCTCAGAAGCACCTCTATGTGGGATGTGCGGAGAGAAGGGAGAAAGTGTAAGTCACCTAGCCACAAGTGAGTGCAGCAAGCCAGTTAGCCCAACGTGATTTACAAGAGGCGACATGACAATGTGGCGCGATATGTGCATTGGCAACTGTGTGGGTAGTCTGTTACACAACCGTTAACGTTTCCATCAGATTTGAAGTGATCCAGAAAGTGGCTCTGTTGGAAACAGCTGGACTATTACGGAAAGCTTTGGCTATTTAGGGACTCAAATGTAACGACTCCTTTGGGGCCTTTAGGAACTCGTTGTTGGTTGCCCCCAAGGGTTATTTACCAGGCAATGTAAACCTTTTAAACCTGAGATTCCACAATATCATAATCATAATCATAATAATAAATATTACTCTTTTGGGAACAGCTCACATCCTCCCCTGTGCTTTAGAGACTAAATAAAAATTATGCAAGGCAGGGATTACAAATAGCATAATAGTAATAATAATAATAATAATAATAATAATAATAATAATAATAATAATAATAATAATACAGTTGAAGCTCCCATAAGCAACCAAATTGCAGAGACTTTTACTGAGTGGTCGCTGATGTAAGGTGGTCACTTATTATGAGAAAAGAATCACAGGGAGTCTCTTCTGAAATGTCCAGACACATCTACTTTATGAAAGATAATTTATTGCAAGCAATTTTTAAGTTATGATATATGCACTTCCATGTTGTTACTTAAGTTCTTCATATATTCTAAGTAGCATAGTACACACAAGAACATAGAGATCAGACAATGCATCAACCGGTTGCTTACAAGAGGTTAAAAACAGTGGAGAATCATTAACGTCAGCCCCCAAAAGTGGTCACTGTCGCTTACAGGAGCTGAGGTGGTCCTTTACAAAAGGGGCCCAACTGGAAGGTCTTGACTGGGAAAGTTTTAGTATTTTGGAAGGTGGGTGGTCGCTTATGGGAGGTGGTCACACATGGAGTTCAATAGTAATAATAATTTTTATAAAAATTAATGTTATTTTTTTATAAATAATTGTAATACTTTATTAAAATCTTATATAAAGCTGAACACAAAACGTCAGAAAAATATTCTTAAAAGGAAATGTCAAGATCAATACAAAATTCCGGCAAAACCCCTTCGCAATTCAAAATTCCAAGAAATCACATAGAGTTATAAAAAAATCAAGTCAAAAGTCCCGGTGGATGACATAATGTCAATGTGCTGATCGTTAAAACACGGATAGGTTTCTGATCCATGAGATGAGATATAAATCTATTGCTGTCCATTTTCCGTACCAATTTCCCGATAAGAAGACATAAGTAAAGATTAAGAGATCGATAATAAAAATAATAATAGCAACAAAATCATTATTATTGTTATTTAAAAACAAGGAACCTTGCTAAATTTGTCCAGTTTCACTACCTTTTAATTTATGAAGATAAATGCTGGATTGTAACAAATCTATTGTAACGTTGTATTATTCATGAAGTATATATTACTATATCATCTTAACAAGTTTAAAAAAAAAAACAGTAATGTAAAAATACCTATACAATATTCTACACCACAAAGGAGCTATTATAAGAAAGCAGATACTAAATTCCCTAGTTGTTAACTATCTCAAATTTGTGAAAAAACAAAAACTATTTCAAAATGTTTCCTTGGAAACAGAAGATTTCTACTAATTACATACATAATCTGGAACAATATGCCCCAAAAGATGTGTCAGTTCTTTGATGGCTTAAGATAATTCTCCGTGTCAGAACTAAGAAGAAAACTGGGAGCGGTTAACTTTAACAAAAACTTCTGGGACTGTTACAAGGTGGCCTGTGAATACAGCTGTTTCTCCCTGCTCCTCACCGCTAGGGGACATTTCGCCAGGAGTAACATCTGCAACTAAGTGACAGAAATTCCATACTGATGACGTAAATCAATGTTTACATAATAAATCCGGTAGTCATGAGGTTCCAAATGTAAATTTGTTTGATTTTATGTTTCTCCTCATCGATTATGGTAAAGTTTTCTTTTCTTCGGCAAATGAGCTCCAGCGAAAGTCAGATGCTTTTTCTAAAGAAGATTATATTCTAGGAATAGTGACTGGTTTGTAGTAGATTCATCATGTTTACATTTGACCTTTGTGGCTTTTTATCTTTTGTCTGTCATTTGTAAACAAAAGGTAAAACAATATAACTACTATGTCAAGTAATCAGAGCTCCTATTCCGGGCAGATTTTACATCATCAGTACAAAATTTCTGTCACTGAGTCGCAGAGGTTCCTCCTGACAAAACATCCGTAGCCGCGAGGAGCAAGGAGAAATGGCTGTTACTCGGGACAGGCTAAAAAAAATTGGTCAATAGCTGAACAGCGCATCCCCAGTAATGATCCCAGAGACAACTGCAAAATGCATTTCAGCTCCAGATTCCTTGCCACTTAACCCTTTAATTCCCAATATCCACATACAATTTCTCCAAACTGATCTCTATACATTTCCATAAAGAATATGTTGAGAGAATTTGATAAAAGATCAAGGCATTATCTCTTTGGTGATCATTTTATTAATTCTCATAACATAATCTTTTGACAATGTATGGATATCGTTGGGAGAAAATTGGTGTTAGTCACCATTGGGACTTAAAGGGTTGAAAGTGACAAATAAAATATATAATATTATACACCAAGAACACATTCTATTGAAGAATGACTCACTAGAGAGTCACGTTGGGATTGATTTCACCTGCTGCAAAACCAACCAAGCTACTGAATCAGTATAAGATTCTGGCAATTACCTTTTTGTTTCTAGTCGCTATCAACAATACTTTTCAAATGAAAGTTTCAAAATTGGAAAATCTATCTATGCCTGCAAAAAATGGCAAAAATCCCTGAAAACAGGTATGAAGCTATAAAATACATGTATGTACACTTACAGTAGCATTATGTTGCGAGGTATTTTCAATATTATTTATTTTAACTACTTAGGGTTAACCTAGGTACTGGCGACTCAAGATGTTTTCAGAAGCAACTGCTAGCTACTTAAGGTTAAACAACTATATCAAGACTATGAGCAGAGCTCGGAAAAAAACTTGAATTACAGGTTGTCATTTGGACAAGCAGTACCACCCCACCCCCTCCCTGGGCTATTGGGCAAACAAGCTTTCTTGTCCCGGACCAAAAGATGGGGCCTTTTTCATTCCCCAAATTGAGTGATTGATGACTTTTATGGATAGTGTGGGTGACAGTTTTAAAAGGTTGCCTGGAAAAAGCCCCAGTGCCTTTTGACCAAGATTCTAATAAATTCTTAACATTTACTACCAATGAATATTAAAAACAACTGACTATATATTCATGATGTAATAGAATTGTACAAGCCAAGAAGTGTAGTCAAAGAAATCTTGTTTCTATAGGGATTAGAAGTAGTTATCAAAATTAAATTCATCTATATTATTAACTTTTATTGTTAGCCCATTAATGCAAAAATATTTCTGGTTGTTACTTCTTTCTAACTGAAAAGTAAAGAAGCCACAACCAGAAATAATTAGACCCATTTGTACATGTAGGCTACTATCTACTTTGTTGTATGACTAGGTGAAAGAACGAGGACACTCATCTTGGAATGTCTGTATGCTTATTGTCAAAGTGCAGGTACTAATAGCCTGCATGGCAGGTGCAAAAAGGGGAGGGGGAGGGGGAGGGGGAAGGGAGAAAAGCACGAAAGAGGGAAAAGGGAAGGGAGCGCCTGCTATAAGAGCCGGTGTTTTTGTATTCAACCCACCATTTTCTGAACTAACCTGATAATGTCAACCGTCAATACGTGACCAATCACAAGAAGGGGGCTTCTCAGCATGGTCCGAACTTAATAATAATTGTCAAATTGTCAAGTCGAGACTCTTTTTTCAAATGATATCATAACCGAGCGAAATAAAACATCTTTACTGTTCTTGCTCCTGACGCAAACACAACCAACACCAAGACTACGAGCAGTCTTTCTTTCTTTTTTAATGCTTGCAGTCTAAGACAATGATCAATGATCAGTTTCTTATGAATACATAAGACCTTTGGTCTTATATCATCAAACGGAATGGTCACAAAGAACAGAACAGTCACCAGTAGCCTGAGATGCAAATAATGAAAGGAGAATTATAAACAATTGTCAAAAAGCTCAATGGACAGTTTTTACCAAAGCTTCAGCCCTCTCTTTACAAACCATTTAGAAGTTCATTCAAGATGGTATATGTTTTTGTGAAAAAGGCGGTCTTGTGAATATCAGCATAGCCGATGTCTGGCAAGAATCATAATTGCTTTGAACCACAGCTCGGTGTTTGGACAAATCCAGTATACAAAACCTCCTGAGCATCTCCGCCTGCTAAAGAAGCAGTTACAGCTGGTTCCAGTTCTGGTTCTAACGTGAAGTTCCTACATGATTGGAGACTGTAATTTTGATCTTTCTTTTCCTTAATGCCTTCATCTTGTTTGTCTCTCACTAATACATGCAGGGATACATGCCAATAAGTTACTCATCAAGGCTCACCCAATCAGGAATTTGCCGACGCCAGCGTCCACAGCAATGAACAAAAAGGGGTTCTTAGAGCAGGCATCCCTTACCCTCTCTCCCCAACCCCCCTCCTTTTTCCCTTCCTCCCTATTTCCTACCCCTTTCAATGCCTGCTATGCAGGCTAGGTACTAAAGCGCAGGCAGGAGGAAGTGTGAAAATTATATTTTTAGAGTAAAAATCTGTGTGAGAAGTATGTTGAATAAGTTCTGTGTTTTTTTATTCCTCAGGTTGGATGATCGTTTTTATGTTCTTTTTCCTCATGACTGTTGGAAAAAACTTTTGGTTTGATTGACTAATCAACATTTTGAAAAAGCTCAGAATTTACAAAGTTATAGAACAATTTGGTATTTTCTTTTTAGTAGAATATATACATAATTTCTGTCAAAAGCAAAAAATTTCAAAATAAGTATGACTGTATGAAACGTAAAGAAATGCCAAAAAAAAATCAAATCATGTACGATGTGAAGAAGTCTGTTCTTAGATGATAGTGAACTGTGGTTTGAATTTGATTTACTTTTCATGTGATGCCAAAATATGAATTATGGTGAGCTGAGAAAGATAAAAAACTGAAAAGATAAAAAACCTCTGTGCCAGACAGAATAGAATAATGGATATTAGAGTATGTATTGGAAAACCTTTCATGTACTAGTTTACTGTACAGTCTTTGGATGGTTAACAGTCACAGGGGGCTGTGAACTGCATGAACAGGTGCAAACGGGATTCAAAAGCTTGGGGTCAACAAGGACCTCACCATAAGGACCCCTGAATATAGTGCCACAGCAGATCTCTTCACGGCGCCATGTAGAGAGGTCAATAAAAGGAAGCTTATTTTTTGTTGAAGATGTAAGGGAAGGAAATAGAAATGAAGTCTGCGAAGCTGTGGAGACACTTTTGACAGGCTGGGTGGTTAATGAACTGGATGAAAACTCATCTGACATGTCACTGGGACTGGGACTGGGCGAGCCACACATCAAAGTTGGCGACAAGTCACCACTGTCTGTTTCCATTTCATCTTCATCTGCAAATCAAGAGAAGAATTAGTAATGTAAAAGTGTAAATGTTATACTCATTCATCTCAGGTGCTAACATATTTAACCCATTCGTCCCTAGAGATTTGCCCAAAAACGCATTTTAAAGCTAGTCGAGCGGTTTTCTGGTCACTGTCGTGCTTTTAAGAGCTAAAACTTACCACAAACCGGTTTACAGGTCGTACACTTTGCAGTTTTCTGATCCAGATGCAAAATATTAGCTTGTGAAGTTCGGCATGTGCAGAAAGCCCCAAATTTTGGGGGTTTAAAAGTAACACAGCAACCTTAACTTTTAGTTTTCGCTTTCTCTCCTCCCTCTTTTTTCGCTTTTCTTGCCTCATTTTGTTTTTCTTTTGCTGGGCATTTAGTAGGCTTCATTTTGGTGAGAAAAATTTTAGGAAAGCTTTTAGGATCTTAGGATTATTTGAAAGGAAAGGTAGGTGGGTGGTGGAACAAGATTTTCATGGCAATTTTCAGGTCAAGGTTACATGGTTTTTTGCAGTTTTTCTCCAGTGTTGTTCACTGAATTGTGATCATTCCGGTAGGGTGCAAAGAAAATCATTTTTACATTTTAGCATTTACTAGCCCAGACGTCATTTCAACTAGCCCCCAAAAAATTTTTAACTGGCATAATTGATTTCACGGTTCTTCTGTTATTTGCATTCCTCAAAAGACATCACTTGCCCATCAGGCAAGTTAAAAACAGAATTCACTAGCTCGATAGCAAAATCCACTAGCCCTGGGCTATCGGACACTACTATCTTTGCACACTCTTCTAGTATGTTTTAAAAGATCTCTTCACTCTGCTCACGTTAGCGAACAAAGTTGTCCTTGACCACTAAAACTGATGATGGTGAATGGGGTAAGGTGCTCTTTTTAGCAGTGTCAAGGTCTATTGCCAAAGTGCTCATATTTTAAGAAATTACAGTCTGGAGTCGTCAAGTGCATGATTCATCTGAGTAAACCATTTCACTTCTAATGGCAGCCAAAGAACCAATTCACAAGAAAATTTAACTTTCTATTCGTAAATCCTCAGAAAAAGAACAACACTTTGCAAAGTTTTGCCAAGGAGGTTTTACACAAACAGCAACCACATGGAATTTTGTCCACAAGTTTTAAAGTTTGAGTGACAAAATAGTCCTTCCATAACGTTGTCGAGGAGTTACAAGGACTTAACTTTTGAGGGGGGAGAGGGTATGGGTGATTTGGTTTCGGCAAGAATTTTTTTTTCCAAACCTCTAAGGATGGAATTTTTTTCCTCAACATATAATGGCGTAAGATTTTTTTTCGCGGCATTATACGCCATAAGATATATTATTTTTCATTACAGGTCATTCTTTTCCCCAGGTTTTTTTCTTGCAAGATTTTTTCCCCCTCAAAATTAGTATGCAGGATATTTTTTTCCTAAAATCACCAATATCCTGCCTTAAAAGTCAAACGGTCAGCCCCTTAAGGATATGTTGTCATGTTTGATCAACATGTGCTTTCCTTACTTTTTGGTGAAATCCTCATCTCAATACAGCATTGCAGCCTCTTTTCAGTAGCAGGATTTTTCCCCGGACGTACAATAGCATTGTTTTGTTCACGAATGTCAAACAAATTTATTGTGGGAATGGCCTGGAAAATTATTTACTGTACTTAAAAACACGAATAATATTATTGAAATAAAACCGTACGCAGAAAATATGATGAACAGTATTAGCATTTTGTCTACGTCCACGTCTTAAAGCTCAAGTCACATGTAATAACAACAAAAAAATTTATACGGTCATGAGGAAAATTTAATAAGGATAGGTTTAATCTACATGCACGTGCTGTCGTACGAACTCTAACCATTTCAAATTATCACTGTTTTTTGCTAGTATTTACGTTATGACAAATTGAAATTTAAATCATAATTTAAAAATTGCTTTTAGGTGTTTTGTGCACGACTGAAGAAGAAGAAATCTACAAAAGGGATTGAACTTAACTCATTTAATTAAAAGTCTACGCTCTTTATAACTTGAAATTGAACGATAAAAACCTTCTTCGTCGCTTTCATTGGCCTTATGACTAACTCAAAGATTTATTTCAAACTGCAAGACGACTGTCATCCAGGTAAGCCAAGGAAAGAGCGAAGAGTGTCACAGGACAATAGACAAAAGAACTCACCTCGGGTCGACTCGGCTCCACAACTATCATTTCGGCCACTTGTTGCTCTTCCGTTGGCAGTCGATGTCATTTCTTTCCCGTTTTCTAAGCTCAAAGTTCTTGAGCTTCTTCTTGGTTTTGTAGTCCTTTTCACACTTGCTTTGCTGTCTACAACCTACATGAATAAAAAGTTACGATTCACTACCTCAAAAATTACGGAGCGGAAATGACAGCGGGTTGGAAAATTACAGAACTGGAAAGAAAACAAAAGTTTTGCTTAAGCTTACATGCTTCCAGTTTTTTGAGCTTCCAGGCGGCAGTTTCTTCCAGCGCTTCACGAGGAGAACACAGGCATTGCAGATTTCTCCTTGTCTTTTCTCATTCAACTGAAAGCAACCACTAAACAGCACTTCATATTTTGACGAAGACGTGAATCGCGAACTGGAGGACTTAGCGCCGCAAATGCAGCAGCCCAGACGGGATCGGAAGACGCGAGGTCGATGCGAAGCAAACATAACCAGGAGAAATGTTATGGAACTGAGCGAATGAAAGCTCTTTGATAAGACAGCGTTGCAGTACGCAAAGCAACTCCTACCTGCTTTGTCCTCCAGCTGTACCTGATGAGAAAGAACTTGAAGAATAATAGCGTTTTGTCTGGCAAGAGGCCCAACGAGCATGCTCAGAAGCGGTCTTCTTTCGGCACGTTGCAGTGTCCAAGCGAACACATGGCAGCAATTCAAGACAGTCAATCATGGACAAGAACAATACATAACCCATTTGCTTTGTTGCCTTTCAAAAAGCACTGTATCCAGAGAAAATCCCTCAAAGAAATGTAATCTGAGAATTGTAAGTTTATTGTAAAATTGTTAGGAAGCTTTTTGCACACACACAAAAAGTGTTCGTAGCCGGCTGCAACTTCACGGCCCAGCCGGGCACATCGAATCCTCATTTACTGGCGTCAAGGACATCCTTAGCTGTCAGAAAAAGTAACAGGGATCAAAACGTTTACAGTCGACTCTCTCTTAACGGACACCTCTGTAAAATGGACACTTAGAGTTGGTCCCTGCCTTTCTTTACTCCCTTTATTTCACTCTTTAGCTTTATAAGACGGACATCTCTCTAAGACGGACAGCTTGGTGCCGGTCCCAAAGGTGTCCGTCTTAGAGAGAGTTGACTGTATTATGGCAGTCTTTTTCTACAGAGTTCTTATGGACAATTTGAAGCCCAGTTTATAAGCGGGATGTGAATAGTCTGGTACACAGCCGTTTTTAGTACCGTCACGCAACGCTCCTGCCCACTTGCCTGGTGAGAGTCGGTACCCAAGGGCTCTTGAGCCCGTGCTTGAAAACTTTCGTCGCCCTTTTCTCCCTCTCGACTGACTGCCCCTGGGTCTCGGAGGAAGGTGGAATCCACAAGCCGGGAAAAATTTCCTTGTGGGATCTGGAGTCCTGGGCCCTGGAGTCTGGAATTGAGTCCAAGGAATCCGAAATCCTGTTAACGATTGGAATTCGAATTCCAATTTCACACTGACAAGTTAGCTAAGGGGCGAATGCATGAACCCAGTTCAGACGTTGCTGCCTGAACCTTCAAGGCCGTTGATAAACAGCGCGTATTAAGGTGACTATATTGTAGCTGTGCGATGCGAATATAACTGTATAGGGCAATGTGCAACAGTTTATTTTTTTTATTTCTACTACTGCAGACAGACAACTAATAAAAGAATTTACAAGAATGTAATTATAAAATAAACAGTACATACAGTAGTGGGACACCCAAAATAACTAAAAAGCTAAACTAGTTGGGTGATCGTAATTATGATAATTGAAAATGTGAAATTCAGGAAAGAGGCACAACAAATGCAGCCAGTGGTACACATAAATATTATAAACTTGGTACAAAAGTAAACATACAGAACAAAACAAAACAAAATAAATAAATATAAAGCATCAAGATATCAGTAAAGATTAACGGCGACTAATGAAACGCGAAGTTGGTTATTTGCATCTTCTATTTTCAAAGTGAAGTGAAGTGAAGTGAAGCATGATGACTTTTCCTTTATTTAAATGAAGCAAAATATAATGTTACAAATAGCTCAGTTTCAGTATCTAGCAGTTTCGAGCCGACTTCCGTATTTCTTTATGCTACCTCAGGGGTTTAAAATAAGTGGCTGAGCTATTCTTCATGGATTCATTTAGACAAGGTGAGAA